CCTTCCAGGGCGGGAGGGGAGCGGCGCTGGGGTTGGGGCTTCCTGAGGTGACCGAGGGGAAAAAGGATCCCCCTTTGTCGGGGACGGAGGGGGGAAAGCTTAGAAATGGCAGCTGCTGCTCTAAGGTGAAATAGCGTGGCCTGGAAAAACGTGAAAATAGGAATGTGAATGTATGAAAACAGACGTTTTTCAGAAAAAGTGCGCAAGTCTTTCTCGGATTTGCTACCCTTTGCAGTTTGGGGAGTCTTTAGCAAACGGGGTAGCGGGTTGCTGGCGGTGCCGGGGCTGCCGTGACAGGACGCGGACAGGCCCCGCGGAGGGTCATCCCACTCCGTACGTAGCCCCTGTCCCGCGTCTGCCGGGCAGGTGCTCTATAAGAAGATGCAGGAAAGCCGAGGACAAAACATGGTATCAATCGGGCTCTCGGAGGCTCTTGCAAGCCTTCAAGCCGCAGTGCTGAATGCCGGCATAGGAGGCTTCGTGTCCCCGAAACCTCCCTTTGCATTTACTGGTTCAGCTGCGGATGTTCTTGTTACCCACGTTTATGTTCACCTCCTCTCTGAAGTGTCATAAATCATGGAACTATAACGTGAATAGCATTGTGTTCTGCAGCTTAGGTGTATTTTTCCAAAGTAATTGTGAATATAATGCGTATTTTGTGGTTGCACCAAGACATGCCCTGTCTCCTCCTGCTACTTGACGTTCCCCAAATAATCCCATTTGATTTTTTTCCCAGTTTGGCTGCATGAGAGACGATTCCTTGCCTTTAATCATCTTCCTCCTCCTCTCAGCTCTGCCTAATTACAGTGTCCTTTCTGAGGTGGGTGGATGTGCAGGGTGCTGTGGGTGTATCACTGATTCACCTCCTGCCTCTACTGTTTCAACACGCCCTTTCCTTCATTAGAGCTGCATATTGATCAGCGGCTTTCACAGAACCACCTAGAATGTTTCGAGGACTTGCCTGTAATTAGAAGAGCTCTGTGGGATAGAGGAGTTGCGTTTTTCCCCTTTCTGCCTGCATTAGTGTGCATTATTCAGGAGTGGACTTGATGTGCTATTATATTAGCCTTTTGCTTAGCTTGATTAAATCTCCTTGAAGTCCTTTGCAGACTTCTCTGAATTTGACTAAACAAAATCCCTGTCTGCAAACAAGTCTTACTGCTCACATCCAGGTCTAGCACATGAATGTATAATCACAAAATGATCAGCAGAATATGCAAAAAATGTTTTTTAGATTTTCTGAGCGGCTGAGACAAAGCAGACCGTTTGGTTAACCAGAAATTAAACCCCAAATTAAACTTCACAATTTGCTGTGGGTCTTTCAGTCCTAAATGTGGAACAGTTACAAAAAAAGTCAAACTACTTTGATTAAAGTCAGTCTTTTTTTTTTTTTTCATGCGCAACTAATCAACATGCCTCATTTTAAAGTTATTTGAATGACAGGAGGAAAAGCTTCCACACTTCCCTCTCCAGCTGGTCTAGTTTACCTATAGACCCTCAAGATGTTGCTTGTAAATATAAGTGAAAATTTGTCAAACTGAACTACAGCCTTTAATTAAACCCCTTGACAGTCTTCAGTTCTCAAGTTGCTTGAGGTCAGCCAAACCCCAAGGCAACCCTCGTCCCTTTGGAAATTCTCTGGTTTGAACAGCCTTCCCTTTTCTCCCTTCCTTTCCACTGCGAGAGCTGCTTATCTAAGAGTAATGGGGTATTTTTGTACCTGCCTGCTAGGTGTTTGTGGAGGGACTTTCGTCTGTAGGGAGAGTGAGTGGAAAAGGGAGATTAATTTGGCTCCCAGGGAGCGAACCCCCTGTCGGGAGGCACAGGACAGGGGGGTGGGGAGGTGGCAGGTGGCACATTTGTCCCTTGTAAGGGCTTGGACCTCCGTGTTGCCCTATCTGCTGGTGGTGAATGCCAGGACATCTCAGGAGCAGCTGGAAGCAGGACCAGAGTCTCTGTTTATGAGTCACTGTGTTCTGGTGGTTGTGTTAAGTGAACATGCAGTCCTAGGTGTAATGATACATGAGAAGTCAGACTCTTGCTTTTTTTCCCTTTTAATCTTTTTTACTTTTTCTCCTGTTCTCCTTTGGAACAACCTTATTCCCTCATCATTCATTTGTATGTTCATGAGACTGCTCATCTGAGAATGGAAACTCTGTTTAAGCAGCTGAGGATGCCAGGGTGAAACTCCCTGCTTTGTCTCTGTCCAGTGTGCTCAGCAATGTTTCAGGAAAAAAGCTGCACCATCTTCAGATGTTTCTTATTTACTTTGAAAACTTATCTGCACTTCCAGCGCACAAGCTTTAATAGTGAACTGTGTAAGTCAGTGAGTAGTTTAAAGGACGGAGTTATTGCAGCTGTCCTAAGAAAGCGGGTATCGAGTTTCTCATCTGGAAACAAAAGCACAGGCTGGTCCACCTGTTCCTCGGGGGGAATGCTCTGCTCATGTCAATGGTATGTAGGAAAGAAAGGCACTGCGTGGCTAATTGCTCTCAGACCAGGAAAAATCAGAAGTAAGGAATGTTTTTTTAGTCTTAGGTAATGGGTGGAATATTTAGTCGATGTTCAAAGTGACAAGTAAAAGTATGATTGGATGTGCTCATTTACTAGAAAAAGACCATACTGCTGCACTGAGATAATTGATAATTGGATGTAGATAGAAGTATTTAGTGTTCTCTTTTCTTTGCCTTCTATTCTTTGGTTTTTTGAGACTTGGATTGTGTTTCCACCCTTTTTTACAGCAGCAAGCTCTGCTAGACATTTATCTCTTCCAATCTTTTTTTTTTTTTGCTTGTCCCCATCCCAGGAAAGTAAAGATTTACACAAACCGATGAAGTTAAAGCACATTTTAGGAAAAAAGTTAGGAGAGCTGACTGCAAGGTGCGGACCTGACACTCTCGCAGCAAGTCAGGAGGGAAGGGTGTGCAGTCCCGGCCGGGGGGGGTGGGGTCTTGGGGTGTCTGCCAGGCTGTGGCCTGGGGGCCGGGAGGAGCTGGCGGAACCCACCCCAGCACAGGGCAGGCGGCCGGAGGCCTCCGCGCAAGCCAGGGCAGTGAAATAGGGGGAGGCAGTGGGAGGTATCTCACCTTGATAAAGCCCCCTCAGCATCTTCTCTGGAGCACTAACTTTTCCTGAGGTTGTGTGGTTGAGTGGTTTCTGTGGTTTTTTGTTTTGTTTTGTTTTTTCCCACTAGAGCGCTGTTCTGAAATGATCCTATTTCACTGTTTTGACCTCCGTGAAGTCCAGGTCCCTAGCAGTGACAGCTGGCCGTTTCCTCTGCTCCCTTGTCTTGCCCTTGTCAGGCCATTTCTCCCATCTTCTGTTCAAGTGTAACGCTGGCTGGCTGGGTGCTGAGATGCTGCCTTTGCTGCCAATATGCTGTGTTATCACACTTTGCCTCCACCCTGCTCTCAAGAGGTCTCTGAAACCCGAGGAGTTTATTTTTTAGGGTTATTGAGTCCCATCACACCACTCATAATTGCTCAAGGTGGAAATTTTGGAAGGGATAGCAGAGGGGTGAGGAAGTTCTGACATGCTGCTTCCCTGTCCCTTTGCCCTGGCAGCAGGAGCTGGGGTGCCTCCTTCCTGCGCTGTTACACGGTGCCAGGGTAGGCCTTCATTTGGCTGCCATTTATGGAAGCAAAACCACTAAAAGTAAAATCCCAGTGGATTTTAGTGGTGTGGCACTCTGTATTGCAGTTCAAAAAGTGGTTAAAATCATTCCCAAGAACCAATTATTGCAAATAAAATAGTTCTCAGGATTTGATCATATGATTTTCTGTAAAATAATGTTAATCTCAAGTTGGTAAATTGTGGGGGTGTTTTTGCAGTATACAATCGTTAATTCCGGTCATTCGGCTTTTGGGTCCTACCTAAAAAGCCAGCAGTAGCCAGTAGCAAAAGCCAGTAGCTGGCTTTTGGAAGCAGTGATGTTTTAGGCACTCTCTTTAGAATTGCACCAATTCAGGATGCATCTCTGCAATGCAGTTTTTCCACATTCTTCATACAACCCAGCAAAGCCTGTGGAAATCATGGAGTGATCCAACTGCTGAAGGCAGACCTTTGGTCTTTAAGTCAGTACAGTGATACACCAAATCCAACTTAAAAACACTGTTAAAATTGGAATCCTGCACTTGAAAATTTTAAGCTTTTTTTAAATTGTGAAAATACTAGTTTTTTTAAAAGGCATGTCAAGGCATTTATGAAAATATTGCTAGACTTCCTAAATTATAAAGTGCAGACAGACATCTGAAGCATGAAATGACTCCACCTGCCTCATTGCTGTTACTAACCAGTCCAAAATAATAATTAAAAGTATTTGCTCTTGGCAAGAATTTGCATTGCATTAACTTTTCCCACTCCTCCTCAGAATGAACATGAAAGGCAAAGCCCGAAGCTTGTGCTTTCACTGACTAAATTAGACTAAATATTTTGTAAAACAGAACCATTTAATGAGCAGGCTGCATGTGAAGTGTGACTATTTATATCCTTAAATGCTCCCATTCTGCCTTCTTTTGCCCTCCTTTCTCTTCCTGCTGTTTTTCCAAAGTTACCTGCCCTCAGCCAAGCTTTGAGGAAGGAGCAGCAGCTCCGTACCTGTCTAAAGAGATAAGCCCTCATCTACAGAAGCAGCAATAACCCACAACCATCTCAAGGCAGCATCTGGTAATGTTGAAGAGCGCAGAGCATCTAAGAGACTTAATGATGTTTTGGTTTGTTTCCCCTTTTCTGGCAAGGTTTAATAAACATTTCAGGGTAGATGGATTCCTGTGCTGCTTACAGCTAGCTAGACCTCCTGAGCTGCACATTGAAAGCATCTGAAACTGTCAGCCAGGTTCACATGATACTCAGCTTTTCTGTGAGGTCTGGGAAGGCGGAGTTGATTTTTTTGGCACAACTCTTGCAGCCAGTTGCAGCTTGGCAAGTCATCTGCAAGTCCCTACCCTCAAGCTTTCAGGGCAAAGCTAAGGAAGGGGGATGTTTCCCTCTTGTGCCTGGACTCCAAAGTAAACGGTTCCCAGATGTGCTTCTCCATATTACTCGTCTGAATGCAAGAGCCCCTCCTTAAAACCATGTCGGGGAATAAGACACGAATTAAGGAACTGGACAGGGATTTCTAGTACAGCATTTTCACATTGCCCGTGGCCAGATGAGCCTGTACCTTATGCCACGAGGAGGAGGGCAGGCTGTGGGCATGTAACCATGAAGCTTACCAAGACCCAGTAGTTACGGGGGAGAGCAGTTTCTTACGGGCTTTCCCCTTGCCCTCACTGCATCATGTGTGAGTTTCAGCACAGTGAACAGGACTGGAGTAGGGGTCCTGCTTCAGGAGGAACCGAGTTTTGTGCTTCCCTGCAGCCCAGAAACAGCTGTTCTCACAGAAGCTTCCTTCCCTTGTGAATCACAGCAAGCCTCGCTCCATGGAAGACACCAGTGACTGTGGGGACAGGCAGTCCAGCATCTTTGCACGGTGACCAAGGCATGCCCCTCGAAGGGGAAGCCCTTGTCAATGTTAATAAAAATATGTGAGCTTTGTCCCTCTCACCTGTGTTACTCCCTCGTGAAAGGGGTTGTTCGGCTACAAGGCGACATTTGAGTTTTCTGGAGTGTTTGTTGCTTTGTAGGTGGGTTGTTAGGGTTTTTCACTGCTGGCCTGGGGATAATGGGGAAGCCAAGCTCCCTTGCTGCCTCCATCCCTGCAGCTGCAGCCTTCACCCCCAGGTTCCCCGACAGGAACTTGGTCTGTTTCTCTTCTAGTGAGGCAGCTGATAATAATTGCTAATTAGCTACAGGACTTCTGCTCTGGGGCTGTAGTACCATCAGGCTCTGGATATCCAGACTAACTGTGGAGTCAGAACAGCACTGTCAGTAAAATAAAAAATTTGTCTGATTGAATTACTGTTATGTTGTTGGTTTTTTTTTTCCCCATTTGTTTGTTTTTAAAAATTATATGGAGTCTTGAAAAGTGAAGTTAAGATACGGGAGAAGGTCATGAAATCAGAGAATCTGAGTCATGGATAATTAAGAACTGGCTGTACTTCTTAAGCTAAAGTTTAAAAAAAAAAAAAGTTCTTGGCAGCTATATGGACACTTATTTTATTATTTAAACATTTTGTTTGTTTCAACCGTGTTCAGGGTAGAGGCTTTCCGTGACGCAGCATGTGCTATGGAACAAGAGAAAGAAATCCTGCTAGAAATGATCCACAATATACAGAACAGCCAGGATATGAGGCACATCAGTGAAGGTGAGAAGCTGCTTTGCCATGCCCTCCCAACTGATCCGCTGTCAAACCAGCCCAGCCCGAGGCAGCAGCTCTGTTCGGTTGCTTGCTGCTCGTGAAGATATGGGCACCGGATCCAGTGAAGGTTCCTGAAGGGCCATCTCTTACCCTGGGATTCCCTTTTTCCTGACTCTGAGAGTTCACATACTGTTCAGCTGGATGGTCTACCATGAACATCACTACTGTATGTGAAAGCCCATACTCAGTCACTGATTTATTTAGGTTAATATAGCTCAGCGGAGGGAGAGAAGTTGATGATAATGATGATGGTTAAATATAGTTGAAAAACTAGCATTTTAATGGCTTTGACTACTGGGCAGGCATGAGTGCCACAAAGTGTACAGCCTGCAAGAACCTGCTGATTAAGATTGTTGCCGTGGTTGTGTGATATATGGCTTTATATTCCCTAAATCTGTATGGTTTATATTAAGTGTTTAAATTGCTGGTTTATTGGCTCTTCAAGAGCCTACATGTTTAAATGTGTTGTGTTCATATTTTAGGAAAAAACTTAAGTTTTTAGAAAATCACTTTATTTCATGGATCCTAATTGCATCTGGTAGTCAAAAAATAGTTTTGTCTTTATGGCCGTCTGGGATATTGCCTAAATCTCTCCCTCACAGTGGCACAGAAAGTCCCTAACGTGCCAGTTTGTTAATGAATAATGTTTCCTGATAGTACTGTAAGCTTTGCTTTAATATGACACAGCAACCATTGTGTCAGCAGCAGAAAAGCAGAATAGAGCTTAATGCCTCATTTCAAATTAAAAGATACTAGCTTCTGTGAAATAAGTAGGAGTTAGGCAAATGCAAAAAAATCCTTTCTGGCCCCTGGAAATCTCATTGATTGTCTTTACTTAAAAAAACTACCTTGTTTATTGCAAAGTTGTAGTTGTTTGATTGTCTTGATGATGTTATTTGCACAGGGAATATTCACCTGTAACCCAGAATACTTTCTTGTTTTCAATTTAGGTGAGAGAGAAGAACTTAATTTGACTGCTAATCGTCTGATGGGCCGAACCCTCACTGTGGAGGTTTCTGTAGAAACCATCCGAAATGCCCAGCAGCAGGAATCCCTACTGCATGCCACGAAGATGATCGATGAAATCGTCAATAAACTTCTAGATGATTTGGAAGATGCCAAAATCCGCTTAATGTCACTTTACGGTGCGTGCACATCTGACGTGCCAGCGGGACCCATCGATCAGAAATTTCAGTCTGTGGTAATTGGATGTGCCATTGAGGATCAGAAGAAAATCAAAAGGCGGCTAGAGACTCTGCTCAGAAACTTAGAAAATTCTGAAAAGTCAATCACATTGTTGGAGCATCAGAAATCATCTGTTCGACAGTCTTGCAACAGCAAACAGGATTAAACTACCTTCCTGGCTACTTCTGGCAAATCGCAGGATGAGCAAGTCTCTGCAAACAGCACACAGAAGCTAAGAAAAAAATCCTCTGTACAAGCACAGGTGTATATATGCATGCACCTGCACCAGAATATCTTTGATTGCGAGGTGCGAGCATTTAATGGGTTTTGGTAGCATTGGCATTTTCTTTCGGCAATAAAGAATGCTATCAGTTCTCCTGTAGAGTCGATACAGCGCTATTGCAAATTGTAATTGTGCTTCAGCTGAACTGTCAGAAACCGTCAAAATCTAGTCTTCTTCCATTCTCCTTGTTTTGGTTTGTTTTTTTTTAAACTAAAGTTGTTTTGTCATATCATGAGATTTCAGCTTTTCTCTGCTGTATACGTAAGTGTGTGAACCAGACTTTTGGGGACAAAAGACAAATCATGGCAATAAATCAGAAACACTAATAAACTGTATATGGTATTTTCATAAACAATACACTGACCTACTCATTACCATTTATAGTTTGAATAATTTGGCTCTATTTGTAAGTAGATCACAATACTTCCAAGAGACAGAAATACCCAGTTTGTAACTGAGGATGTGAAAAGCAACACGTCCCCTCCAAAGCTCACAACCAAGGCTGGAAACAAGCTCCAGCTCTCGTGATACCCTTCCATGCCTGCCTGGTGAACCATCCTGCCCCCCCCCCCTTCCCATTTATTTGTAGTTTGAGGTTGCTGTGTATTTTTTTAAAAAATATAAAGGGGAATTGTATTTTATCAGCAAACTCATTTTGCATCATCATCTGTGAAGCCACAGAGCAAACCAGTTGAATTCTCAACTGATATACCATATTTGTTTCTTGTGTAGGATGGGACTTTGTTTAACATAACTCACTCTTTGGGTGAGTGGCTTTTTTTCTCTTTTTTTTTTTTTTGCTTCCACTCCCTTACTCCATATAATTTCTGCTCATTGTTGCCATACTCTGTTGCTGTGGGTCAAAAGCTGAAGATTTTAGTGTAAGCCTGGAATTTTGCAACCCCTTGTAGCCTGTCAGTTTTGTGCTATTTCACCAAAGGCTGGTGGTCACCTGAGGACAGCAGGGGGCTCTGGCTCAGCCCTTGGCTCAGATTAAAGCTCAGCTGGAGGAAGCAGGAATGGCTGGAGATGCCACTACCCAACCCCAGTCTCTTCTGCAGCAGTGGGCTGCCTTCAGCCTTACAGCCTGAGCATCACACCTGGATGCTCCCAGAGCACCAGCCCCAGGTGGGAGCTCTTCATGTCAGGCTTCTGCACAACCAAAGCTCTGGAGGGGGTTATTCTCACAAATCATGCTGTGAAATAAACTGAACATAGTTTATTGATGCTTAGAATATTCCTTCAATATCTGTTTTTTTTAAAGGCCATTCTAAGGTTATTTAGGCCAAAAGTGTTAAGGGTTTTTTTGTTGTCTTTTCTAGATCCTCTTCATTGTACCAACAGCTGAAAGTATTTTCATTTTTTATAGCAGTTGTACAGATGTCTTTGTTCTTAAGGACAAAATGATCACAACCTCTGTATCTACAGCTAATAGTGTAGATTAGACTTACTTTGACTTAAGTTACTGGTTTATTTTTAAAATTCTTTCTTCCATTTGCCTCCCAAGTCCTGTGTTACCTGACCTACAGGAGGTCTGCAATACAGCCATCACTACCCTCTCCTCTGCTTTAAGATTGTGCACTAACATGCCACAGCCATTAAAGATCTTACAGATTTGAACAATCTGATTTTAAAACCAGTGATACTGTCCTTAAAGTTTCTTTCACAGTCATACCTGTAAGACACAGCAAAAGACTTTTTTTTTTTTTTACCATAGTTTCATACCAGCTATTTTAAAGTAACTTAACAGAGCTAAACATATCTGGCATCATACACATGATGGAGATCAACAAAAGAACAGATTCAAGTTTTTCTCTTTTTTAAGTGCTCTGTTGTCAAAAATCAAAACACAGTAGGCGTAAGGCAGCTGGGACAAAGGTTTAAGAAGCACTAATGGAACTTTCGGTCCCATTATCTCCTGAGCAATAGAACAGGCTGTGCTCACTTCTCAGCATAAACCAGTCTTGCAAACAGGAAAAAATGCCATTTGCGGGTATGAAACATCTCAGCGATGCCAGAGTACCCAGGTGTTCGCAGTGGTTACCGCGGGGGCTGGCAGCAGAAGCCACATTAAACAGCCACCCACCCGCCTGAAGCTGAACATGATAGAGCTGCACAGTACATGAAACCCCCACCTCTTGAGTGGCAAAGCTGCTTCTCAAAGTCTTTGTGTAACCGTAGTTAAGCTCTTCCCTGGCCTAAAAATACGTGACCATAAAAATGTGAGTTGTCTTACATTTCAAGATTTTTTTCTTGCCTAAAACATTGTTAATTAATCCTTATTGGGGTGTTAAGCAAGTTGGGTTTCTGTGTGCAAAACTGCATGCAAGAGGAAGCAGGGGTATATTACTTCCCAGACTCTCAAGATACCTGGATAAAGACAAAAAAACCCAACAAAATACCCCAACCAACCACCAGTGACTATTTACCTGATTCTTCTCAGAAAATGCGCCAGGCATCACTGATATATCGGTAATATTTTAATGCCACTTCCAATGTCTACAACCATTCACTTAAACCTTGTCACTGTGTTATCCAGACCCATCACAAAAAATAAAATGACCAGAAAGAACAGAACGAAATCAGTATTTTGTATCTGAACTGTGTGGTGAAGAAATCATAGGCAAGAGCTCAAGCATCAGCATTTTGTTAGATGGGGGTGCCAATGCTTGTTCCTTTGAGGGTATCAAATGTGCTGTCTTGGGTCCCAACTCTTTGCAACACATGGGCTAGAACCGGGCACACGAGTTTCTCCAGCAGATTCAGTTCGCACAGCTACAGGCTTACAGCCATTTTTTGAAATTTAATACACTGACAATTTATTATAACCACAGAAGTAGTGACTTGTGCCAGACCAAACAGTAATCAGACAGATTTAAGTTGCATGATACAACTAACGTCACTTACAAGAGAACAGCAGAATTAATTCATAGGGATTTACAGGAACAGCATACACAGAATATTCAGTTTTAAACATTTATTTTTCCACTTGAGGATTTATGGTAAGTTATGCTGACTTTATTTTTTCTAGAAATATATTACATTTAACTTGAGATCATGATGGTGATAAAAACAGTTATGTACATTATCTGTTTTAACCAGTTTACGTGAACTTGCAAATAAGAGTTGTCATTTATTAGTAATGCTGCATCTTTATCCTCACACTGAGAGCATATTTCTGCTGGTCCAGAGTAATTTTTTACTTTTTTTGACCAACTTAAGTCAGTTCTGCTGAACCACATTTATCTCAGTAAGGTAAGACAGAACACTCACTCCACAAGTTATTAATCAGTATTACCCTACTATTAGAAACCTGAGAATGAGTCTAGTTTAGTTCTAGGACTCACCTGGCTTTGAGACGACTCCTATAGAGCACTTCTTTGACACAGAACTGTTTGAAAGTTTCTCTTGTTCTATTATAGCACCTTTCATTTGGAATCTAAGCATTGCTGCGTTTTTTTCTTCTGTAATTTTGGTTACCTGTTTGGATGCTGTATTTAACAGAAGTATTTTCTTTTATCAATACTATCTGAGCATTGAAAGAAAGATGTGCACAACTGTTGCTCCCCACAAAAAGATGGTAAGGTGATTTTGAGGAAATCAAACTTGTTAGACCACGTTTGCTCTCCGGTTTATGTATAGTTAGTGTCCAGGTACTGCAACTTCAGCCAAAGGTCTGTGACTACATTTAGAAAAGCAGCAGGGGCTTAGGTACCATCACTGGAATCCAAGCAGCATGTTTGTTTGCTTGCTGTATGACTGAATTCCCACAAGAGGGTTCTGCAGTGCAAATCATTAATTCTGTTATCAGTTGGTAGTTATCAACTTGAACAGATGAATTAACAGGTTCAGAGTGCATGTTCACTGAGTAGTATGCATGTACCCTAGCATAACCTCCAGGCAGTACGTGTTCTGCTGCTCAATTCCCTTTAGTATAATGTACATCTACAGAAGTGATGCAAAGGAAAACTATGTGTCAGATAGGCTGTAGCCCAATAACGGAGAAGAAAAAAAAAGAAAAGACAAATTTTACTGAAGCATAAAAAAAATTAAACAGGAAATCAGACTGACAGTATGGTAATTCAGGCATTTTGATTAAAAAAGGTACGCATTGCCTTAAAAAACACTGAAAATATTTTTTTTTTTTTTTTTTTTTAAATTAACCACACACACACATACAAGCACAAATATCAGTGTGATCAGTCTTACAACTTCGAGATTTGTTATTTCCAGTTGGAAATACATCCCTAGCATTAGCGCTTTGCATCAAACGATGCCCCACTTACTGGGAGAACGCCCATTCACTGAATGGATACGACACGGGAGTGACAGATGCTTTAATGTCATACTCTTTAGTGAATGCTTATTTCACTAAGGCATTAACAATTACTAAAGTTTTCTGCTAGTGGTAGCATTATCAGCTGAAAGAAAGCAAAGAATTTTTGCGAGATTCAGATAATACAGCCAATGAGCTATTCAAGAGATATTGACAGATAAAACAGGAGTGCAATTAGCTTAGTCTCACAAAACAGAACTTTGTGTCTTGTGGTAGGAACATCTGTTGCTCCTACTCTAAGATGCCCATCTGCCATGGGAGTAAGAGAGCTACATCCTCTCCCACCATGCAGTCACAGAGATGCCCATAGAAGACCATTTTTATTACCAGCTCTGCACCTGTAGGTTTGGGTAACTCAGCCATACAATATTTTAATGAGAACACTCTGAGTGAAGAATGGGGCAATGTTTGTAATAAAAATTATTCACAAGGGACAATGCAAGTGCTAAACATTTAGGCACGTCTCTTCATTCAAAACGCAAAAGTTACTCCCACTGAAGAGTGATGAGAATACCTAAGGATTCCTGCAATATGCAAGTCAGCTGGTTTACATCTACACACTAACCCCAGTAGGGTAAAAAAATAAATTTTCAAGCAGCATACATGCAGAGCACTCTCCAGAAAAATGCTAATTTGGACAGTCTCCACCTCAGTCATATTGGAGAACAAGCACTGCAAAGTCACAACAAAGAGCGAGCTGCTTTAGATTTAAGATGTGAATGAAACAAAAGCTCACTGTTAAACAATGCTGCAAATATATATTCCTATGGTGAAGTATGTGTACTAGGTTTCAACATATCCTAAATTTAGCAGGTCTGTCAAGTCTCCACCTATGAAAATTCTATTGAGCTTTCAGTCTTTAAAACAGTGGTTTACAATGACAGACCTTAAATACAAATGGCTTATGTAATAGTACAATGTCTACAGCGTAAAATCTAATAGTACAAATGGTTACTATACGTAATAAAGACTTACTTTTTAGTACTCTCTACAAAGTCAAACAAGGCAAAAAAGATGTTTCAGACACTTTGTGATTTTGGTTTTTTTCTAAGAAAAATGAATAAAAAATATGAAACTGGCAAACAGACAATGAAATGTAAAAGTTTCCATATTAAAAACAGTTGTCAAAATTCTTCATGCATACACTCTCCTATATCCTGAAGTTCTAAGTTGGCTCCATGATGTACAATCATAATTGCTAAGACAGATAGAACTTGATTCCATTTATATACACATACAGTGATTAAATGCACTTGTTAAAAAATGAAGGCCTTTATCCAAGAGAAAATATAGGAAATGTTACAATGAAGAACACAACAGTTTTGCTGCAATAGGAAAGGGGATCGAGCACCTTGAAGGCTGCCTTCTTGCCAGCAACAGGAGATGCTCTAACAGCTTGTCAAAGAAACAACAGTACTTGAAAGAGAGTCTAATACAGTAAACATAAAATACAGAGTTCAGAGATCTTTAGTGTTTGTGCATAACTTGCCACCCACTTCTCTCCCTGCAGACAGTGGGAAAAAGAGTACATTTCAGTTTTCATATTCATTGACTTAGAAACAACGTAAGTCAAGCTTCCTACATGAATTCACACAGTGAAAAGTCCCTCCTCCAGAAACAGACAGGATCACTCGACTCATTTTCATTCTCATCCACCATTTAAAAAAACTATTAAAAATCTGAATTTTTTTCAAGCAGCATATTTTGCATTTGTCACTGGCAGGTTTGTTGTAGAAATCCTAGAAAGTTAAAATTATATCATACAATACAAAAACATGTAAACAAAATGGATATTTTTTAAAAGGCATGCATGCTTTTGAAAAGGATTAAAAAGTGTTTATTTTTGGTAAATAAAAGATCTCTTGCTTAGCATTTTTTAAAGCACCTTAGTGATTTAGGAGCCTAAGTCCAAATAACTTTAATTTAGATTTGGGCTCCTAAACATCTAAATCAATTCAGTAAAATTACTTAAGCACTTTGAAAATTTTTTGCCATGTCTGTGATCTTGCAGAATTAGATTCTTTGTAACCAGCAGCTAACTCTGAATCTGACACAACATTCAAGAAAGTCTCATTCATGTAATTCAGTCATCAGCTGCATTTTTTTGGATCCTCCATAACTTAAGTTATGGTATCTGTGAAAAATTTTTCCAAAGAAGATATTTTGTGATGTCATTTTGCAAGTTCCTTTCTCAGAGACAACACAGGATACAACAATCAAATCTGAACAAGAATATGATTATATGCTCCTTCTGAATAGCTATTAGTGTCAAAGACTGTTATTTGTTCAACCTGTTAAGACTGAGAAAAACAAACTTACAAAAACAGCATTAGATTAAAAAAGAGCATTTTTGGCACCATACATTTTTAAATCTAAGCTTTTAGGCCCAAAGTATAGCAAACTAAATGTGCCCAGTGGCAGCTGTAAAAGCCTCATCTGAAATACAACTTTTTTTAAGGAATTTTTTTTGGGGGGGGGGAAGATGCTATTTTATGATCATTAGCTGATCTCCAAGTAATGAATCCACTGGAATTTACCCTAAATATTCATACCAACTGTTTACATATATACTTTAGCACTCATATATATAATACAAGTATACTGTACCAACAGATCTACTAGAATCCATATTAATATAGTCAGGCATGAAATGTAGCATCTTCTTTTTGCTCCTGACTAACCAATTCTAACATTTTCTTTTAAATTTAGATGCAAGGTTGCTACTTTACCGTGGGCCATAGTGTTATGGTCTGTACCTATACTTGTAAGTATTACCCTTACGTTAAATGTGTTTTGCAATTCAGCAACACCTAGTTCATAGCTCTGTAAATAATTCATTGAAAAAGGAGAAGCTTGCCTAATTTTTACAAAGTGCATGGGGCACCCACGGTTCTGTGTTTTGCCACCAGGTGTCTCACTCTACACATCAAAATCCACTGCATCAGCAAGTTTATAGAAACCCACCCTCTATCAAGGATCCCACAGGCACAAGATTTGCTAAAGCACTGGTAAAAATACCTCTACAGCTGGCTTTATTCTGTATTCAATTGCACAACTTCATCCAATTCACTTGGTTGGTTTTTTTCGTCCAGAAGTGGTCTAAAGTATGCTGCAGTTGCTAAAAGGACTTCTGTTTTTCTTGGTCCTCTGTTTGTTTGGTCTAAGGTTGATGACATCTCCACCATTAAGAGTGCTAGAATTCTGGTTGGAGTGACTTCCACCAGCTGTATTAAAAACACCTACAGAATTTAAAGACACAAAAAGTATTTGTATTTCTTCCTGCAGCATAATACATTAACACTTAAGCAACACTTACCAGGGGATAGTAGTACACCTCAAATGCATACTCTATTTTCCAAAGGCTTTATCTATTTCTGGGTCAGTTTTGCAGCTAAATTTGAAGTAGAGCCCACTGAAATTACTAGCCAGGCAGTATTTAAAGCTGGTATAAATCTATGTAATTGAAGGACAGCACATGTAACTCATCTGATTATGTGTATGCTACTAATTGCATGGTAACAAAGTTATGGTTAGTTGAGTAATACAATGAAAGACAAACATGACAATTTTAAAGTTAGAAACTTTGCTGATATAAAGGTAAGGAAAAAGTCTGAATAAAAAGGGAGTGCTTTGAGGAAAATAAATTAACTGACTCAGAAATGCTTTAAAGAAGGACTACAGAAGTTCAGTGTTCCCTTACAAAATGCGTTTTACAAAGACCTTCTGATTACATGCCAGATTCTTTCACCATGAGTCTCTTGTAAATCTGCACCAAGATGAGTAACACTGATACTAATTACATTTTAAAACTCAACAAGCATCCTTTCTCAAATCCTTACACAATGTTTGTTTAAACGAATTTAATAAAAGGGCATTTGCCAAATGTTAGCCAGAAACTTTAATACATCAGTTTGGAAGTCACAAAGTTATTTTACAGAAGGAAAGGAGACAGTATCCTGAGATAGGAAGTCACTAATTAAACCCTGATTCACCTTGTATTAACTCCATAAGGAAACAGATGAGACCGTAATCTTTGATGGCACAAAATACTATTTGCGGTTTTTTATTAAAGTGTACATACCAATCTTGTTACTGCTTGTATGTACTAGTTCTGGATCTTCAGCTGTTTGTTGCTTGAGCCTCTGAAGATATTTATCAGCCAAATACTTAAAAACTGGAATGTTAAAAAGAAAAAGGGTACATCAGAGTATACATAAAAATAATCTTTTTATCAATACTAAAACCTTTGTATCAAAATTCTGTGTGGTGACAAAAGCACATTCGACACCACAGGTTTAGCATGATCTGCTAAGTTTCTCACTCTCAGCAGGCCTGTGTACCTGAGCAGAATCCACATTAGTCCTGTGTCTACCCCGGTCTTACAGTTTGCAGTACTAAAGCACAGCAGACAGAAACATCTCAATACTCCTATAATAAAGCTGGCACACACATATTGCCAAATGTTCCAATTCATGCAACTTGGAACTTTTTTTAAGTTACATAGGAATTTAATTTTTTTTTTTTTTTTGCAAAAAGCCTTAGGGTAACAGCAGTCATGTAAAGTAAGGGTATTAATAAAACTTGGCAGCAACATTTTCTAATTAACTAATGCTACCCTCATTTGTACTGGGGTATGAAAAGTCTACCTAGGATTCTGAAAAATATACAACTACAGGAGAATTTTCAGAACCTACATGTGTTACGATTATTTACATTTGTAATTAATAACTCATGTAAAGATGATAAAGAAACATTTTACATTTTCTCTTGCAGATTTTTTTTTCCCAAGGTGAATGTTAACAGAGAAGAAATAATTATTTTACTATTAAGTTTACCTGATTAAACAAAAAGTTACCAGAGACTATAATTCATTATTATTATTCAGACCTACCCCACAAAAGATTTGTAACAGTACTCTTACAAAATTAAATCTATACATTAAAAATAGATACTTGGAAACTAGTAAAATATCACCAGTAGAAAAAAGGCTGCAAGAGATCCCATCTTTGAATGTTCTTTCTTTAAATATAACTAATAAACTAAACTATGAAGTAATTGATTGTATGAATAACTTATAAATTATTTACAACTACAAAATAATGTTTAACAATTTGTATGTTGTAATAATTGAACTTCTACATATAATTGTTTTAAAAGCTCAGTGCTTACTGACAGGATTAGGACTAAGCAGCCTTAACACATTGGTACTTCTAAATATTGGAGCTATGCACTGTTTGTGGAAGAGAAAGGAAAGATGTACACAAAGGAATGGGCCCAACACACTGATATCAGGTAATTCTAGCTATGTTTAAGGTGTGCTGCTAAGAAATATAAAAAGAATTGCCAACAGCATGCAACAACATGGGAAGTGACAGACCAGCTCCAAACTGGAGAGATGTGCAGTGCTACAGAGCAGAGGGCAGGACAGACTCTGCTGTACCTCCTCGTACCTTCAGTTATGTTTAGGTCTTCCTTCACAGATGCTCGGTAGAACCTTAATTTTAGCTTTTTTGCCAGTGCTTCTGCCTCTTCACTGCACAACAGAAGAAGACTTTGTAAATACTAATTTGTATCATTTGTCAGCATTTATTCTTATAGACAAAATGCTTCGTGCTAAGGTCAACATCGCAAGGTGGTTAACAAACTCAAGACAGACAAAAAAATATCTGATTCTTAATTTCTTTACAGTATCTCCACCATAAAAATAAGGTATTTACATGCAGTTTCTTTATGACCAAAAGTAATTGCTTTTCAATATGTATTGATTCCAGTAACTAAAATTTCCCAAGGGTTCGAAGACAGGTGTCAGTGAAATAAAAAGGAAGGAGGCTGAGGCTGTAATTAACAGCACTAGGATCAAAACAATTACCACTGCAAAGCCAAAACAACAACAACAAAATAATCCTTAAGTATATTTTAATGAAGCAATCAGATGAGTGCAGAGATGAAATAAACAGTTACTTATTTCTATGAAGTGAAAGAGAACTTGTGCTAAATTTTAAGGAAAAGCTGAGGAAACTTACGAAAATTTCACCAAGGGAAATCACATTATCAGAAAGATGACATTACTGAGGCAGACAGAGTATTCTGAGAACAAAACCTAAGTGACATACCATGAATAAAGGAAGAGTTCAAATGTAATTTTGCTTTTCCTTTGAAAAATCCTCAGTATTCTTTGAAGAGGGAGTAAAAGTTGATTTATGCCATCAATGATAGCAAAAAGAGAACAAAGAAAGCCAGTGCAGGAACAAAGAGAAGAAACAATTTAAATCTCTCAGGAAGATGGTAGAAATAAAGAAGTGGAGGATGATTGACTTCATCATGCAGTATTTTCTATATGATATGCTGTGGTAAATAAAAGTTAGCATTTATTAAACTGATTTTATGGCAAGAATGAAATTGGTCATATACCCAAAGGCAGAACAAACTGACAGTAAAATCTCTTAAGAAAAATACAGTGAAGAAGGATCAGCACCATGCAGTGTGAGAATATTACCAGATATGGATTTCTACAGTTACAATGTTTTGATAAAGGTGAGCAATAAAAACAAAGCAAAGCAAAGACTATTAAGATACTTTTTCAAAAAACCTGTAAATACTTCATCATTTTAGCAAGCATTCACTAGCCAAACTAGACTTCACTGACGCACAGCACAGTTTAACAGCAACTGTAAATTTTAACAGGAGAGAAAATTTACAGTTTAAGAATTTCTGATTAAAAAGAGAACCATATCATGGCACACCCAAACTCGTCACGTTATTCCTCTATTTTTTTGGCTGACACTTCAGAAGGAGTGAAGCGAACAGAAAGCTCCTAGCTTTGCAAGCACATCTGCCCAAGCCACTACACTCATGCAGCAATACCTGTCACATGTGCTTCTAGGGCACGTTTTGATGCAGGGCATAGGTTTGACAACCTAGATATCCTACGTCTTCACCAGAAACTCCCACAGATTTTTTTAAAAATATGTATATATGGGGGGACTTATGTCGTTATTTAGAAACAGTTAAAACTCCTACTTCTTTATGCATGAGTCATCAAGAAGATCTATCTTATTCTGCACAAGAACTGTGGGGATGTCTCCAACTTCAGTCACAACTTTTTCCTTCCAGGTAGGGATTGCTTTGAAGGACTCTCTGTCAGTTGTAGAAAACACAAGAACACAAGCCTGGGCTCCTAAAAACACACAAATTAATTACAAATAAATACAAATCAACCAACAAACATCAAAAAAAGAATAATAATCTATGATGTATTTCAAATAAGGGATTTTTCAAGTTTATTGCATAAAAATGCACTTTCACCACCAGCTTGTGTCGCACCAATGGTCATAAATTCCCAAATGAAAACAGACTGACATTTTATTTTGATCATTACACCCATTCTTCGTGATGGCTATGGGTCTGTGTCCTGGTTCAGCTAGGATAGGGTTAAGTTTCCCCAGCAGAGAAGGGGGAGTGTGGGAACTTTTTTCCTTTGTGGCTTTGGTGACGGGGAGCAGGCGAGCGAGCTGTCTGTAACCATTTGCAGTATTTCTCTGTATATCTTTTGTCTTGTTCACTGTTATTGCTGTTTATTGTTATTATCATTGCCACTGTTGTTCAGATTATCACACTGTTGTATTAAATTTCTTCTTATTTTAACCCGGGCTTTGTGCCTCACTGCCAGCCCGACCGGCTGACGGTGGGGGAGGGGGCAACGGCAACATGCGCTCCGGTCCTGGCAGGGCTTAAACCACCAGTCTGTTAACTTCCAAGCTATTTCCAGCATGGTGCATGTATGCAGGGGAAAGGAAAAAGAGGGGGTGTGGAAAGCCTAGAAAAAGGGAAAGGGAGGTTTGCTTATTGCTCACTACTCTCCACACAGCTTAATGGAGGCCAGAAGGCAAATATTTTTCCATATGTAGTATTTATAAAGCACACTTCATGTTATTCTTTGTGCTATAGTAATTTGGATTTTCAATAGCAGAAAATGTGAAGTTTTTAGAGAAAGTTGTGATTATTTCAAGTAAATTGTTTAATAGCTTTTTGGAGAAAATAAATGCATTTCTAATTCATACTTATTCTATCACACACTATGACAAATTATACAAAATGTTTTGTACAATTGTTGTTATGGTTTTGCAACAGCCTAAACAAACAATAGTTAAAACCCATGGATACTGAGAAGGTACTTCCACAGTTGAAATATTAGTGAGTGGTCTTCTGACTGTCCAGTAGCACTGTTATCCTCAAGAAACTACTTTTCTTTGCAAATGGAAAAAATTTTATTATTCAAATGCCTTTAATATATCTGGTATTTAGTACCAGAGTGTAAAAGGAACAGCTAGCTAATGTCTCTTGAGACTCTAGTGTCATTTTGTGGTGAATATCACAATGTAATTACATATAGCATGAAAAATTATTTCATGAGTATGAATTTTATCTATGAGTTTCACCAAGTGTCCCCCATTCCTGTATTCTGCTTGCCTTTGTATTTCTTTGACACAAAGCACTCAAGTTCTTTTATTAGGTTTCCTTCTATTTAGCTTTTCAAAGCCAAATTCAGTCTATCTTTATGAAAATTTTCCTATGCTCTTTTAACATTCTTTCACATGCTCCTAATGCATGTAGGTATGGTTTTATAAAGAATATTAAGAACTGCCCTCAGAATTTCAAATCAAGCTCTACCACAAAAATACTAACAATGCTGTCTTCCATAATTTTCCCTATTATTTGTGTTCTAAAATTTTGGTTGTTTTCCCTCATGTCCACACCATATTCTAATGTATGCAATTACTCTGATGCAATTCCACTTAGAATCCTGTGAAATAGGTGTAAAATTAATTACTATTTCCAAAACAGGTTAGTTTGCATTTGTCAATGCTGAATTTAACCTACCATCTCATGAACTAGCTTAATAAAGCTTCCTGAGTTCTTTGCTCTACTGGAGATGAGACTATTTTTTAAGATTCTCACCATCTGTAAACATCACCTTGTTCAAAGAAATCCATTGTGAAGTTTCCACTCTTAAGACACTTTTGCTTTATCTCTCTCCCTCCAGCCATTCCTTCTGAATGATAAAACACGGGGATAACTTGGTAATAGTAAGTTTAGAGGGAGAAGTCCTAGTATGTGGTAGGTAAAAAGGGGGTGACTTACACCATCAGACCTCCTTATTCAATTCACATATAGTGCATGTAGACAGGGACAGTAGAAATAACTCAGCCTGGCCATACTGCTTTTCAAAGATAATTACATGATAGGCTGTAATTAGGAATCAAACTGAAATATTTTTGAGGACCTTCAAGATTCTGATATTTAAAGGTTCTTACCAGGAAGTTAAACAACCATAACAGCAAGTGTCATCAAAAATGACAAATCCTATGCACTTAAGTAACTGTGTATTTCCAAATGTCTGCTGAAGGTTTTGATCACTGGATTGTAAGAAATACCAGAATTTACTAATCCAATAATCCTGCAAAATGCTTATTTAAGAGAAGAACAAGAGAAGTATTCTTCTCATGCTCAATTCAAAACAGTATCAAATGTGATCTTTCTGAAAGTATGCTTCAGTATAGTGCAGAAGTTAGTATGGCAACAGAATTCAACAGCAGATGCTGCAGAGCAGAGATATTATTATGTAAATTCTTTTAATCTTCTAAGAATATTGCTAAATACTCAATATTTTTATTGAGAACATAGTTTTAAGAAATTATCATGTCCATCTAAGAGCTCTAAGGAAAAAAACTTTAAAAAGACAAAAGCCGGGATTTAGGTATGTAAACACCTTTCTGTATGCATCAACTGATCATATTCAAGAGAGTAAGTAATATTATTACCTCACTCATCCACTGCAAATGAAGTCATACAGCACCTCTGTCATACAACAGATTGTGTACAACAAAAGACACCAGCAGCAAAGGCACAGGACAGTGTCAGCTGGGAGTGTAACAGCTAAAATGAGGATGTTCTTGATGAATATTTTAAATCAAAGTTCTTTTGTAAGAAGCTATTTTAAAGTACCGAAGGACACTGGATTTTTTGTGTGAAATTCATTACTGCTTTGATAATCCCTGTATCTTGACTTTCAAAAGGTTCCAACTGGCTGTAGAAATGCTGATATGATATGTACACCTAGACTAATTCAGAAAAATATTAAGAAGGTAGTGCTAGCATCTCTACTTGATTAAAGAAGAGCATGAGCTTGTCAGCTGAGAAGGCGGTGTTGTTTAATCTCAGCCAGCAACTAAGCACCATGCAGCCACTCGCTCACTCCTCCCTCCTTCCCAGTGGGATGGGGATGAGAATCAGAAAAAAAGTAAAACTTGTGGGTTGAGATAAGAACAGTTTAACAGCTAAATAATATTAATAAAAAATATAATAATAGTAACAAAAATGCATATAATTTTTAAAATATGTAAATAAAACCCAAGAAGAAACAGGTGATGCACAATGCAATTGCTCACCACACACTGACCAATGCCTGGGCAGTGATCTGCCCCCCAGCCAACTCCCCCCAGTTTATATACTGAGCAGGATGTCCTGTGGTATGGAATATCCCTCTGGTTAGTCTGGGTCAGCTGTCCTGGCCATGCTCCTCCCAGCTTCTTGTGCACTCTCTTGCTGGCAGAGCATGGGGAACTGAAAAGCCCTTAACTCAGGATAAGCACTACTTAGCAACAACTAGCAAGCAGTGTGCTGTGAGACAGGACTTGAAAGAAGCAGACAAGACGGTGCACCCTGCTTCACTGTTGTTGTTAGAAGGGGATGTACTAGAACTTGTAGGCCATAAGCCTTGGGCAGCCTGATAAGGGGAGTAAAGAAGTGACAATGTGGGGGAGAGTTACTGCCCCTATGAGTCATGCGGCGCCAGAGAAGAAGAAAATATAAAGTCTCTGAAAAACAACTTAGTGTCTGCAAAAACAACTTAGTCGTAAACAGTCCTGTTGTTAAAGCTTTAATTAACTACCAATCAACGAGCATTGATAAAGAATGTTGTAATATGAGCATTGATAAAGAATGTTGTAGTATAGTAACCAATGTAAGACGTGTCTTCTGATTTCTTCTAACTTTCTATATAAATGAATGATTTCTGCAATAAACTCTCTGACTCTGCTTGCATCAAGCTGTGTCCCATCTCTCAATTGTGGCAGTGTGTTATCAGCATTATTCTAACACTAAATCCAAAATACAGCACTGTAACAGCTACTAGGAAGCAAATTAACTCTATACCAGCTGAAACCTAGACAGTAGGTCTCAAAGATCCTCAGTAGACTATCCCATCCTCCTAGACTCTTTTCTTCTTTCACAATGGTACAAAGCCTATCTGATAGAAAATGTGTAAAGTCGTTCCTTGCCATGAGTGGACTCACACAGGGCTTTATACCTGGCACCTATTCATTTCACTGTTCTGTTCTTTGCCTCAGCTTTTTCAGGCTATGACAGAAAGCACATGCTCTCTATAAAATTGATGGTGGCTTGTTCAACCTTACACTGAGATCAAAATCCAAGGTCAATGACGACATCGCTCAGAAGTTCTTGTGTACTGTTGATGTTCTAACTGCTGTGGATCCTAGCTGTCTAACAGGCTTAGCAGGGTTTAAGGTCTCACTAACAGTATCCAAAAGAGGGCTACTTCATTTCAAATTGAACCAGGGCAGCCTTGCAGCCCTCCCATCACCATAGTTACTACAGACAAAAGTGATTAACAAGTGCAAACTAAAGCAATGGTATGAAGGCTTGAGAAATCTGAAGTTTAACTCTTGAACAAAATAAGGATCCTGAGCATTTGACTAATCAGCAACTGAATAACAGACTAATGAGCAAGATGTCTATTTTCCATCAAAAACCTAGAAGCGGTCTACTCAAGATAATAGTGGTAGTGGATGGAAGAGGATGCGTACAAGAAGAAGTGATCAAATACTGCCTTGAGAAACACCTGTAACATGGACAGAACACATGGCAGTGCTAATGACAGCCATTCGTGTATATGCTTAGCATATGCATGAAGTACCTAGCCAGTCAGAAAATGTGTGATTTCCATTCAATAGAAACTGGTAAGAAGATGTATGATACAATATAAAAATAAATTTTTTTTAACTCTTTGAATTTAGGTTGCTGGACACCTTACACTGTGAGACCACAGGCAGGCAGCTACACCAGCTGCGTGTATTTGCCTGTACATAGAAATGTATATAGAAAACATAGAAAACAACATGACAAATTAGCTCCAATTTTGTTTCTCTGCAAAGCTGAATGAATTTGGACTCAGAAACAGACTCTGAAGCATTGTGTGACCACGGATGAGCAGCTGATCCCTGAAGAACTGACAATACATAACATTTCAGGAGAGTACGTAAGCCCTAGTGTAAATGATAGTGGGACAGTGACCTGTGGGAGAGGCAGACCTGACAGTTCAGGTAACAGCCAGCATCTCTTACCTACCTCAGAAGCATTCTCCCCTCATCAGCAATAACTGGCAATGAAATCCTTGCATTTCCAAAGTAAGCTTGACTTTTTGCTTCTAAAATACTGTGCTTGCAGACTGTTGCTAACCCAAAATTGCATTCCAGGCTTCTATAATTTTGCTTGTCCTTCATGAGTCAAAAGTCTAGCGCAGAACAGTCACTGTATTTAATAGCTTGAACTGTGAGTATACCCATCATACTGTCTACGATGTGTATACACAGGATGACTATCAGGATGCTACTTCATAGCAGCCTCTTCAGTATAAAGATATTGAAGGCAGAGATCTAACTGCACTGTGCTGAGCATGAATCATGAACAACATTTCAAGATACTTATGCAGATTTTTTTTTTCTTTTTTTAACCACCAGGTTGCTTGTGGTAAGTGAGACCAGTAAATACACTTTTAAGCTTTTCTGAACACTCCATATTTTAGCATGTCAGTTCCAGGATTTAGAAGAAAATGGCTTTCACTTGAAACAACTGAGGAGAGCAAAGCATACAAGAACTGAAGGCAAGAGTAAAAAGGAAGCTCCAAGAGAATCAAATACTACCTTCTAAAATTCGTATGCTCATCAGCTACAAAATAACAGGATGATCTATTTCCACATGAGGATAAAATGAAATAATAAAGATCTCTGAAGAAATGGACAACTAGAAATGTTACCAAAACAGGATCATGAAATAGAAAAAGGTCAGAGGGCTATACCACCCTGAAACAGCATGGCATAACTATTATTTTCCCTCTAAATGAGGTAATTTTATACCACAGCAATGTATTTTTCCCAGCCATCAGGTAATTAGTTTGACAAGAACTCAATCATAGAATCTTTGCCAAGTCTTCAAATCTCTCACATTAAAAAACAAAACAGAAAGATTTGCACAACCATTGTTAAATTATATGCAAAGAAAGCCTAAGTATGCAATTTGTAACTAGCTAAGAAGATAAACTGCCTTTATACAATGGAATAATAGAGTTTCTACTTTATGAAGTAAACACACTTTCTTTATTACTCCATTGTGTTAACATGTTCAAGGCAGCCTGTACTAGCAAGAGAACTGCTATGCCTAGAAAACTATCTTTCTAGGATGATTGGTGAATTTTTTTGCCTTGGATTAATTTCTAAGTGCCTCAGCCACAGTTTTTGGAAGACTTACAAAGTGTAATAAAGAAGTAATAAAACACCTTCAGAGGAAAAATATAAATTTGCATTTGAGTGTTTGAATGGCTACACTGTGTCCAGTTTCTGTGCTGATATTTCCCTCATTTTGTTCTATGTTTTTTAAAGGGCACTACTGAGCATTCTGCAAAAAGTGGCACTTAATTAAGGGCAAGCATCTTCCATGAAGGGGAAAAATATTTAAGACCTGAAAAGGCTAGCTAAAGATGCTTTGCACACATGTGAAATAACTAGAATTGTTAATACAAAGACAGGAAAATATTTTAGAGATGTGCAGACTGAAAAAACCACCACCAACTACCAAATAACAAGCACGGTATTTTCACCTCTATAGTAGGCCTTAGTTATTGCATCAAATTCTTCTTGACCCGCAGTGTCCCATAACATTAGCCTGACATCTTCATCATTAACTCTGAAATAAACGAGTTTTGTTATCAATATAATGAACAAGAGCAATTCAAAACAACTGTCATCTACAATATAAGAGCAATTCAAGTAAAATTTAACTTGATTTAAATACAACGTAACTTAATGTAACTTAATATAATATAATGTAACTTCACCTTGTAACATACTATGCCAACAGTCTCCAAATTATATTAAATGCTCTTTACTAACAATTGTACTACATTTTCCTCTTCTTCCTCTACATTTCTCTCTATGAGGAAAAATAATATAGACATCAAAACAAAACTTAGGTGCCTGAATAACGGTCCTTTTGTCTTTTTAATGAGATTACAGAATTTATATAATTTCTTACTTCTCATTAGCATTGTATTTTCCATTTTAATTACTTATTATCTACTTATCTACTTATATTGCACAGAGACAAAATCTATAGCATATTTAAATTTTTCCACAGTCATTATCTATATTATCTAATAAATTTGTGTAATAGTTTTATCATAAGCACTTCCACTTCTTCCAGAGATTACAAAAAAAACCCCACAGGTGATAGAATACAAAGAGAAAACTTGTCAAAACACTTAGCACAACAGAGTTTCCAAATGTTATATATAACTGTGATATAACTGTGATACAGTTATATATACAGTGATATAACTGTAGCCCACAGTGCAAGACAAAAAACAGCTCCCTTCACTGTGCTTCAGAAACAGCAGGCCTTGTCTTCCAAGCCTTCATACATCTTAGGGTTACAACAGAGTAAAAGAAATAGAGGCAAAAGTAAAAACCAAAAGTATGGCATCTGTTTAATACATACTGGATCTGTCTTTCCAGGAAATCTACACCAATAGTTTTCTTGTAGTCTTTTGTAAAAATCCCCTTGCAATATCGCTGAATCATACTAGACTTTCCAACGGCTCCATTTCCTACTACCACCACCTTGATGGCCACCTCCATATCTTCTTCCAACATCTCTGCAGCCCAAGTGACTCTCTAGCTTACTCAGGAAACTATCGATCTGTAAACAAAGTAGATAGCTGTGTTCATAAAAATGCTATGACTAGAAAGCCAGAGGAAATACAATCACACATTAGGATTCACAAAGACTGTCCAATTTATTTTGAGCTCTGCCACAGACCGCTTAAGTGACCTCAGGTAAATTATTTAGCCAGTCTGTACGTTGATTTGCCACTTATTAATTGGAAATTAATATAACTATTCATTAAAAATATCCTTCCACTGTACAAATGTATTGTCATATGTTGATTATGTTCCTGATGCTCCATTGCTAACATACAAGACACTCAACTTATCAACCTAGCACATAGCATGAGTTTGAAATATGACAACTTCAAACTACAGTCACTGCTTTCTTACATCCAGTTCAGATATCGTCACCTAACACCAATGCTGATGCTCTGAAGACATAAACCCATATCATTCTGTGATTACACCCCTTACTTCAGTTCTTACAAACTTGTCTACATTTGTCTTTCTGAGGAAGTTGAGAAAATTCATAATCAAATAAATTTGTGTGTTCTTATTTATTTTTTGGCATGTGAATCAAAACTATTATTTATCAAAAATATTATCAGGTAACTGTGAAGATAATGCATTTTCCAAAGGTTTGGTTTGGGTTTTTTTTTTTAAATATAATTGAATAATCCAACTGTTTTAAAACATTTTTAAAATGTATAACCTTTTAGATAATGTACCTTATCAATACTCAAGTCATTTACATTTTAAAAGTCTATATCCTATTAGGTGTGACCATAACCTCACATAACAGGGCCACTGCAGGGGAGCCATCTATTTCTCCTCTGATTTAATTTTGCCCATGTACACCCGACATTGTCTACAGACAAAGCCAAGCTGCTAAAGTATATGGACAAAGTTCACAGTGCAAGCGGTTTTATAGTGGATGTAATTTTTTCTATAAACTAAAATTCCAGTCTGCAAAAATTGAAAGTAATTTATTTGGCTTACTGTAAAGATATTTCCTTCAAGTTTTGGGTGGTTTTGTTCGTTTGTTTGTTTGTTTTATGAGGAAGAAACGGAGGCACACGTAAAAGCGAAGTTTCCCCCGCGTTTTACTGTGCCAGGGTACCATCACGGTAACACTTCCCATCTGCAGAGCAGCAGATTTCCTCCCAAGAGGTCAGTGACCCTCCTTTCAAAGGAGGGGAAGACACACCTCTGGTAAAAGCTTTGCCCCGTGCTGGAAGAGCTGGGCTACCCGTACCCTGGCGCCGGCTCACCCAGGCAGATGATAACGTTTCTGGATTGCCTCTGGGTGCATCAAACACGGGCGTACGTACATTTTTATCGGGTATTCGGCAAGCACCGCTAAAACTGCCGCTGGGCCGGCCCGCAGAATCCGGATGGCCATTTTAAGCGAGGGCCGACGCTCGCCGGGGACAGCCCTGCGGCCCTGCCCGCGGC